TCACAGTTAAAAAGTAACTTCTTTGTGATACCGCCAGCAGACTGTGTTCAGGGCCAGATTTCCTTTTTTGAGTCATTTGACACCTGTTACATAACAGTCTTCCAACGTTTATTGGAAATATTGTTTAAACCTGCACATTTTTTGTCAGTATTCAGCACTTTCAGTACAAATAGTTTTTATTCTCTGTTGTCATCTTTTGGGCCACATGGTGGAATGGTGGTTAGCACTGTTGCCTCACAAGAAGGTCCTGAGTTTGGCTCCACCCTCTGGCCACAGGTTTTCTGTGTGGAGTTCACATGTTCTCCCCATGTTGGTGCAGGTTCTGCCCAGTTTCCTCCCACAGTCCAAAGACATGCTGTTAGTGGGGTTAGCTCAATTGATGATTAAGCAGTGAATGGTTGCCTGTCGGTGTGTTAGCCCTACATCAGATTGGCAACCTGTCCAGGGTGAACCCTGCCTCTCGCCATATGGTAGCTGAGCTAGGATCCAGCCCTCCCAGCAGGGACCCTGATAAGGATAAACAGAAGAGGAAGGATTGATGGATGCGCTATATATTTGTAATACTTTGTCATGTAGACAATATGGTGCTTGGAGTCATGCTGTCACAATGTAACTTAATACAGATACATTTTAATATCTAAGCTCTGTGTACTAAAAAAAACAACCCAAAAAAAACCATGAACCACTCTAGCACTGAGGCATCAGTTTTTAACTTTCATTTTAACGGTCAACTGGGCAAAAGAACAAAAACAAATTTCATGTGCAAAAGTCAAATCTGATTTTAAAAGAAAAATGTGTAAATTTAGAGTATAAATACTTTTCTTGTGAGCTGAGTATATTAGCTCTCAGAAAACATAGCTTTAAAATCCAGATTTGTTCCAGTTTCAATCCCTCCAATTAAATCAACAATTATGAATAAAAATGATAAAATGCTGAACTAGCTTCACATGAAGCGGCAATTAAGCACATTCAAGCAACTCAGAAATGATGACAGAACATTCATCTTCGCTGACTCGATTATCATTAATATGCACAGTCCAAGCTTCCTGTTAACACCTTCAATAATTAACCTTAATCTTAATTAACCTTAATCTAGTCTGGGTTTCTTGCCGTGTCTTCTGCTGATTGAAAAATATATATATATACATAATTTGGGGTTTTTTTCCTGTTAAGATCACTTTTATTAGGTCACACCGCAAATCTGGATCCTGACAACCGGTCCAAGATTCTCAGCTAATCTGGTATCTGAGCTTTATCGAGTTTTCCATTACATATCTCCTATACTACTTCCTGCCTTAAGGGCAGTATTACTCCCAAATTTCTTATTGTGAGTCTTCCATCTTCACCTAACTTCTGCTATCAATCAATGACTTTCATCAGGTTACATACCAGATCAATTAAATACAGCCTGTTAAAAAAAACTCCCTAAATTTCACTGTGTTAAAGAATTACAGGCCATTGATTTGTAAAATCCCCAAGGAAGCTGTGGCTCATCAGCTACTTGTAATAATGATTTTTTTTTAATTAACATGAATAATCCTCACAGCAGAAATCACCCTTAAATAGAGTCATGAGTTGGAGCACAAAGTTTATCTAAGTAATACAAATGCACCTTCTGTTGTGGGAGGGTTACTTACACTGTTGATCCAACAGAGGAACAGCTGTGTGCAGTCTGTGCCCCGTCTTACACTGTCCGGCCACAGAGATGAATTCAATAAGATGAAAAGGGCGGAATATGTAGTAAACAAAGGACAGCTTTATTAAGGCCTTTAATGAAAATGTGTGTAAAATGAGGCCACTGTTAGATAATGATAATCAGTTTGATGACAGTTGATCTTTGTGACTCATAGAACTTAATGTAAATTTTATCAACAATCCTGTATAAAGAAGGAGACACAAAATAGAAGTATGAGAAATCAGATGTGTTCAGGCACACTCTGTTCACTGGGACTAGACCTGCTCTTGAAGCAAAAAGAAGGCGCTGTGCATCTTTATACATTACAAAACTTTTTTCTCTTGAGCTTTTTCCAGTGTTGGTGCAGGACCATGGTATCTGATGAGATCCAGGCCACATTTCAGTTTGAGAACAGACTATAACAGTAAAAAAAATTATGGTAAAATGCAAAGAAATCAAGGACAGAATCCCAGGCTACATTTGTGACTCATTGGTGGTTATTGTAAGGTGCAACTGGTTCCAGATTGGGCACTTGGTCTGTTTTGGTGGAAGGAATGTGATATTTAAGATGCCATATTTCAGCAGCTCAGGTTGGGTTACTGAAGACTTTACAGATTTGTTGATGCAAAGGTAACATTCTTTACAGTCTGTATTTTCAGAATAAAAATATGACTGTGATGTCACATGATGCCACAACTCAGCGGCTCAGGTTGGTTTAAAGTTTTTCAAATTGATAGCTTCGGTGCAGCTACTAAAATTCTTGGATGAGTTTGAATTTCAGTGACTTTGATCTCAAGGTCAGAGGTAACATTTTCTGAAAATGTCATGAATGCTGTAACTCAAGAACAAGAAACTTATATGTGATTACTCATGAAAGTGGCCACTTTCGCATTACTTTCATACATTGTTTTAGGAAGTATCCAAAACATACAAGTTTCATTATATAATTTTTCAAGGGATCTTATATCTGTTTTCACTCTTATATGCTTTTCATACAAGTTTCACACAAGACAGATACAAACTTTATAAGATTTATATATATCTGTTCCATATGGGAGGATTCTGAAATTGATAAAATCATGTCTCTAGTAGGATTTTTTTGTGAACTGTGGAGTATTTTTGTTGTAGCATTAAGCATAGAAACTGATTTGTCTGCCTAAAAGCTAAATCAGAAGTACCAAAGAAGATTAAGGATTTAATTAAATTTTGCCCTGTCTGTCTAATTACATTTGACAATCATTTATGGTAAATAAGACCATATCTGCATGTCTTTGTACAATCACAATCAAACGGGTGTACAGGTGTTCCTAATAAACTGCTCCTCTAGTGTGTGACATTCTCACAACAAGGGGTTGTTACCATGGTAACACTTACCCTCAGACTGACTCAGTTTCCCATCAATGACCTGACCCTGCTCCCTGATGCTCACCTGTTCGTCTCCACTTCTCCAGAATCAAATGTAAAAATTTTGGTTTTATATTTTTATGCTGGTGATTCTACTGAATTTAAATGTTCAGGTAACTGAAACCCTCTGAGGAAGTTGCTGTATAAAAGTATTGTCCTGATTCATAATAATGTAACAATAAAGAGTCTGCAAAGCATTGAAGCAGTCACTTGATAATTTATGAATCACTGTCTTCTGGTCATACTGGGCAGCTTTAAGTGTGAATGTGTGTGTTTATGTATGATTAAACAGCTCCACTGTAAAATAAATACATAAATAAGAATCTTATTGAAGCAAACGTCAAAAAGTCGTCTCTTTGAAGTCACTCAGAGCTCACTGTAAGTCATCAGTCTCATCTCAGAGACAAGCACAGAGCTCATCACTGAGCTACCTGTGGTAATGACTTCTGTCCCACTCAGCCCCATCTTGGTTCAGTCGTTTTCAGCTGTTTATTTATTTCTCATCTTCAGTTCAAGTCTGGGATGACAGTGTTTCTTTTCTCTGTTAAAAAGTAACTGTTTTGTGATACAGTGAGCAGACTGTTACGTATTCAGGGCCAGACAAATTACCTCTAATCATTTGCATTTTCAAGCCATTTGAGGTCTGTTGCATAAAAGTCTTCAAATATTTGTGGGAAATATTGTTTAGAGATTTATATTGTTGTCAGTATCCAGCGCTTTTATTTACATGACATTTAAAAGAAGAGCCATTTTTCAGCTTTGTTTTCATTTCACTGCATCATATTTGAATATCTGCAATACTCTGTCAAGTGGAACAGACTTTTTTATGAAATTTTGAGTCATTTTTTCACAGTGAAACTTAATAAAGATGTATTCTGGTATCTGAGCGCTGCATATTTTGATGACCCCAGGTGATGGGTGTCTCTGTTTTGTTTTTTGTGCTGTGCTTCGTTCTGCAGGAGCTGATTAAAGAAGCTTGCTGCTTGAGGTACAGCTAAGCCCAGTGAGTTTAACTATAAAAGCTCCCTCCTTCCTGCAGCAGATCCTTCCCTTGCTCTCTGGTTATCCTTTCCTCACTGCTATTGTTTGGTTTGGACACCAGCTTCCTAGACTACACTGGCTCAGCTACAACATGTGTTTTTGATTCTTACTGACCTTGTCACATGCTCATGCACGTTTTACACTACTGACTTGCTGATAGACACATTCACCTTAATTATGTTCTGTAAATAAATCATCCTTTAGTACCTTTAGTTACTTTAGTTACAACCTCATCCAGTCTCACTCTGTTTCATTGGACCCTGTTTTATTTGCAGGTGGAAGGACCCAGTGCAATCGAGGAAAGGCTCTAATCCTTCTGGAAAGTGTTACTTTCCAGAAGGATTAGAGCCTTTCCTCGATTGGATTAGGGGACGATCGTGCCTCAAGAGTTGGGAGTTCGCCTTGTAATCGCAAGGTTGCTGGTTCGAGCCCCGGCTCAGACAGTCTCGGTCGTTGTGTCCTTGGGCAAGACGCTTCACCTACCGCCTACTGGTGTGGGCCAGAAGGGCCGATGGTGCGATATGGCAGCCTCGCTTCTGTCAGTCTGCCCCAGGGCAGCTGTGGCTACAACTGTAGCTGCCTCCACCAGTGTGTGAATGTGAGAGTGGATGACTGGGTGTGTAAAGTGCTTTGGGGTCGCTAGGGGGGACTAGTAAAAGCGCTATACAAATACAGGCCATTTACCATTTACTAAGGAATATCACCAGCATCTTTTAACTGTCATTTTAATGATCAACTGTAAGTGAATGCTTTATTTGTACAAGTGTATTGAGTATTTTGCAATAGCAGAAATCACACCTAAACAGAGTCAAGAGTTGGTTGGCTGTAAGGTGAGGAGGACAGTATGTGTCTGGCCCCTCCTCAGACTCCTGCGCTGGTTATCAAACCAACAACATTTTCTTCTGCCTGAGTGACAGAAATCACCCAGAGCTGTTTGTGAAGAGGATCTGTATTTGTTCAATTATGGACTCTTCTGGGGAAAAAACAGGAAAATGCACCGAGGCAGTGAAAGAGGATTTAAAAGAAGGTGCAGCGGCTGCTTGCGCACAGAGCTCCCGAGGCTGTTGCCAGAAATGTGTCCCTCGGTTTATTCCGTCAGTTTACCGCAATGAGCTTGTGCAACTTTCCAAACTGGCGGGACCAGTGGTAAGACTGTGTGTAAATTTGAAGCTCATTTGAAGTTTGTCACACTCTCTGTCTGTTGTTACTGACAGGAAGAACGGATTTACTACAGAAGATGCACCATGTGTCAATAAACTGTAATTTGATTTAAACGTGGGACCTGGACCCTGGTTTAGTGTCTTATTAATAAATACATTAAATGTTATTTATGTTATTATGAAGTCCTGTTTCTGAATGGACCTCAAGCACTGTAGGACTGTACTGTGTATATCTGTTTAGTATTACAATCATTTAATTTTAAATTAAATTACTATGTTTTTATGCATTATTTGGATTACATATCAAATTCCTCCATGCTTTCTTTAAGCCCCCAAAACATACAGTTGCTTATGTTTTTACTATTTTTACTCTTTATCGTGCTGCTGTAACACAGAAATTTCCCTTGTGGGAAGTATCCATCTATTTTAGATATTTGCTATATGTTTAACATCCTTAAGTTACTAAATGTTTTAACCATATTCATTACTTATTTATTTTTCCTTTAAATGTATTTCTAAATACAACACAGAGTCAGGATCTCCTCTTCTGTACTTCAGGTCATTTCCCAGTTCATGACTTTCATGATCAGTTTTGTCAGCACGGTGTTCTGTGGTCACCTGGGGAAAACTGAACTTGCAGCTGTAGCATTATCAATTGCGGTGAGCAAACATTTCAGTGCCTTTGTTGTTGAACCGTAAATATGCATCATTTTTTACCCCAGTTTATGCATGTTGTGTTTCGTTTGCAGGTAGTTAACGTCACTGGTATTTCCATTGGCACCGGTTTGTCGTTAACTTGTGATACCCTCATATCTCAGGTAGGGTCCTCACCAGAGCTTTCACTTTATTTGTGTAACCAAGACAAACACAAGCAGCACAGCTGGGTTCCCAGGTTCTCCTGGAATCCCCTTTTAAACATCTCAACACTGAGCTTTTGTGTGGAGTTATTTTTCTATGATCAGTCATACCCTTGTTCTTTGGTGGGATTCTGTGTTTTCCAACTTTTCTCACCCGAGCGTCTGTCTACCTGTTTCACGCAGACGTATGGGAGCGGTAACTTGAAGCGTGTGGGTGTGATTCTCCAGAGGGGAGTCCTGATTCTGCTGCTGGCCTGTTTCCCTTGTTGGGCCATCCTCATCAACACTGAGCCTCTTCTACTTGCTGTCAAACAGAGTCCAGATGTCGCCAGGTGAGCCGTTATTAACCAGCAATAACAGACGCGTGGATGTTGTAACACTGCTGAGCATGTGTCTGTCTCACTCTTAAGGAAACACAAATTATGCAAAATGCCAAGCACTGTTAGTTTGTGCAAAAAATACTGTGGTCCCTCGCTATACTGCGGTTCACCTTCGGCTGTTAGGCGGATTTTTTTTGTGCAATTTTGCATGTTTTTTTGTTTTTGTTTTTCTGTTTTTACAGTGCATTGCGTCCATGATCGGCTGTCCATTGTCAACCAATCTCCTCCGTGCCGTGTCTCCTGTACAGTACAGAATGCATTCAGCTTGTCAAATTTACATAAATCTTCGATCACTAGCAGTGTGACTCTGAAGTGCTGTACTGTATGTTTGTAAGTTTTCTCCCCAACAAAAACAACAATGTCGACGAAACGTTTTGCACCGTCAAAGGCACCTGCGGTAGCACCCAAGATACAGAGAAAGATGCTAACCATCTCACAAATGATGAACTTCTGGACATGCTAAAGGAAGGTAGAAGTTACCGTATTTTTCGGACCATGAGGCATTAGGCAAAACAAAGCAGTCAGATGAGTTAAACTTTACTCAACTCATTGTTCTTGCTTCCTCTACTTCCGTACCATTGATTCATTAATGTTTAATTCTCTGGCAGCTGCTCTATTCCCATGTTCTGGACCTAAAAACAGGGTTTGATCTTTGGCTTCATTCTTTAATACTGGACTTATTTTTCTACGAAGGTTTGAACTTTGAGAGTCTTTAAACAGGAGAGAAAAGTGTGAAAATGTTCATGCCTGTCTGAGGAAAGTGTATAAAGTGTGTAGTGACGGTCAAAGGAGCTTGCAAAGAAAAGCGTCTGGACTTCTTTAAGTTACTTGAAGACGTTTCACCTCTCATCCGAGAAGCTTCTTCAGTTCTAAGGTCAAATGGTGGAGAGTCCCAGATATAAACCTAGTGGGAGTAACCCCCCACAGAGGGACAAAAGGACCCCCTGATGATCCTCTAATCGCCTGAGCCAAGGTGTGAAACTGGGTGTGGGTCCCAATCAGCCAGAGTTTCGGGTGAGTTCATTGTGAAGCCTGGCCCCACCTTATCATGAGATCAGATGGCCCAGGATGTGAGTGGGTGTTAAGGCGTCTGGGAAGGATCTCAAAACTGGATTATAGATGGCAGAGAGTTGGTGTCGTAAACCCCCGCCTCTGTTCAAAGATGGTCGCTCACAGTGGACATAGATGGCTTCTTTCACTCCTCTTTCAAACCATCTGTCCTCTCTGTCCAAAATGTGAACATTGGCATCCTCGAAAGAGTGTCCTTTATCCTTAAGATGCAGATGGACTGCTGAGTCTTGTCCTGTGGAGGTGGCTCTTCTGTGTTGTGCCATGCGCTTGTGAAGTGGCTGTTTGGTCTCTCCAATGTAGAGGTCTGGGCATTCCTCACTGCACTGTACAACATACACCACATTGTTAAGTCTGTGTTTTGGCGTTTTGTCTTTCGGGTGTAGTGATGGGTTTTACAGCCTAAAAACAACAAATTTTTAGAACGTAACTCGAGATAAACTGTAATGCAGTAATCGAAAAGCACATTATACCAAACCTCATAGTTTGACCACCTGTAGCAGCAGAAACCAGCTGTTAACTCAGCGGTGGAAATGCACGGAAATGTGTGCTGGTTCTTACTGCACACATTTCTGACCTGTGAGAAATAATTCAGTAGATCCTTGTACAGGTTTACAACCCAACACTACTTAAACTACGTGCTGTGTTTGTTTGTTTGTCACATTGTTACTGTGCCTCGACTTTTGGATAAAGCTGCCAAAAACTTTTAAAAAGATAATTAACATCCTGAGACCTGAGATGCATTTTCAGTTTGTCTAAACTATTTGGGATTAGTTGGACCCAATAAGTATAAAAAGGAAGCACCATCATTGGTGGGCTTATTTTACAGCATAACGCATTAAAGTCACCATTGTGTAGCACAGCATGAAACAGTAATGAGCAGAATGAAGTAAAAGAACAAGCAAAATGGTATGTAACCTTAATTTATGTGCAGTCAAATGTCACCATCATCAGTTTCACAGGCTTACTTTGTTTTTTTCATTTCCACATGAAGCCTCTCCCAGCTCTATGTGAAGATCTTCATGCCTGCTCTGCCGGTGAGTTTGACAGGATTTGATGCAGATTTGGAAGGTGTTCAATATTTAAACAAAAGGCAGGTTGATATCCAGAACTGAGGGTCTTAACAACAGATGCAGTGCTATTTAAGGTCCAGAGAGCATCGGTCACACCTCTGCACACGGGGTGGCCGTAGCTCAAGTGGTAGAGAAAGTCATCTACTAAGGGTTAGAGTTGGTAGTTTGACCCCTTAGCTGCTCCAGTCTGCATGCCAAATGTCCTTCAGCAAAATAGTAACCCCAAGTTACTCTCCAATGAATCTATTGGAGTGTGAATGTTAGCTAAAAAGCACTTAGGCATGCTCACCTAACCCTAAATGTGATCTCCTCCCTTTTGCCCCCAGATCTATGGGCGTTGGTGCTTAAGAGGTTAAGGATCGGATGGGTGAATGAGACGTGTTGTAAAAAGCACTTTGAGTGCTCTGAGAGATTAGAAAAGCACTTTATAAGAATCAGTGCATTCACCATTTATCATGTTTGACTTTGTATTCGTTTCTAAGGAGATTTACATTGTTCAACAATACTGCTCAATCTCTAACTCTGATGCCCCCCTCTCATTTATTCTTGGTTGAACTTTGAGGCATAAGCTATCAGACAAAGTGGATGAGGGTTAATAACTTGCAGTGGAGGTGTATCAATGTATAGAATCTGTGATAAATTTTATTTCTTTGATTTATTAGTAATTATTTGACATGTTCATTGTTTTCATTGAAAAGTGTTAGCGTGCTGATTAACCTAAGTTCCGATCATGTGCTCAAATTTGTTCTTCACTTCTGTCAACGAGTCTCTTATAATTTAATGTTTGCTTTCTTCAGGCTGCTTTCATGTACCAGCTGCAGGGGAGGTATCTTCAAAATCAGGTGCAGTGCTTTTGAAGCATGCATATGGCCTATGTTACTTTAATAACTGGTTGTGCTTTTAAAACATCAACATGAATATTATTTGTATTTTGTGCTTTGGTGTACAGGGAATTATATGGCCTCAAGTTATAACTGGAGCAATCGGAAATGTCTTTAATGCAATATTCAACTACGTCCTCATCCATCAGCTGGATTTGGGTGTTGCGTAAGTTTTCCTCCATCATTCCTGTGACATCATTGGTTGAATGTAACCTCAATTCAGACAGTGAAAACTATATGTGTTTTAAATTCTTTATCTAAATCCATGATCCAGTGAATTTAGGTGAATTACCACAGGTTTTATGGTGTGTTGGTAAATTTGCAGACCCAAATGCAGGACACAAGGATCAAGTGTCCTGCATTTGATCGTTGTGCACTTGAAAGACCTTCAAAGTAAAACAGGAAACAGACTGGGCACAGAACTAAACCTAAGAACTAGACACAGAGGCACCAGAAAAAAACCCTCAAAACTAAAATACAAAAACAGAACTCAGAATGCTAGAAGTCATATACAAAGATGAAATCATAGAATAACACCAATAATGCACAAAACACTGGGTCACCGATTCAGGACCATGACATCATGAGCTTGAGTATAGTAATATTTTTAGTGTCAAAGAGCAAGTGGTTACAAGGCTCAAAAAGACAGAGAATACATGAACGCAAGCCTGAAAACCCCAGATGTTCAGAAAGCATTAAACATACGAACACTGCTATGAGAATTATCGGAAACACCACTAAGAGGGATACATAAAGACCACTCAGAGAAAATATAGAATGTGCATAACTAACCAATTTTAATACAACTAAACAGAACAACAGGAAAAACAAAAAGACGAATATAATAACAAGACTGAAGCAAACAACATCTGTTTCAAACATCTTCTATTAGAAGCAAGTATCACAGTTGTTACAGGTTAATAGGACTTATGCCCCCTTTTTCTCTAAACAAAACAAGACAAAACAAAAAAGTAATTAAATAAATAATAAATAAATAAACAGAAGAACAAAAAACAAAAAATCCACCAATCGAGGATTTAGATGGCATCTAGAGTAGACTTCAAGTCCGTTGACGTGAACCCAACATGTCTTAGGAAAAGAAAAAAGAAAAAAACAAACAAACCCAACCTTGACCCCAATCCCCTGACTGCCAGAAAGTTACATTTTCCCAAGATATGCAAGTAAAGGATGCCAAATTAGTTCAAAGTCTTTCACATTGCCATTCACGGTATATCTTATTTTTTCAAGGTGAAGTGTATTTGTTAGCTCTGTGAGTCACATCTTTAACACAGGAACCTCTTTGCCTTTCCAAAGCTGCAGGATCAGTTTCTTTGCAATCATCAGTGCATATGACGTAAGACTTTTTTGAGCATGTTGTAAGCTTTGTGTTTCTTTGGAGATCCCAACGATAATTGCTGTTGGATTTGGATCAGTCTTGATTTTAAGAATATTAGACAGATAGGTGAAGATGTCACACCAAAAACAAAAGCCTTGGACAGAGTGCAAAACTATGTAACAAATTTCCATAATGTGTCATATATTTTTCACAGAAGGGAGAGCAGTCTGGATAAAATTTGTGAATTCTTTCCCTTGAGTAATGTAACCTGTGTACAATTTTATACTGAATTAGGCAATGATGGGAATTAATAAAAAGCATATTTATGTTGCGTAAGACCTCCTGCCAAAAATCTTCCGATAGGGAGATCCCAGATTCCTTTTCCCTCTTCTCTTTAATTGAACGAGTAGAAGGTGTACTCATCTCCTGTAGTGAGTTATAGAATAATGAGATTCTCTGTTTGGACCCCCGGCTATCACTAAGGCATCTATCCAAGGTATCAGACAACATGCTTTCAAACTGCGGCAGATGTGTGCGGATATAATTTCGTAGTTGAAGATATCTTAAAAAATGGCTGCACAGTAGTCCAAATCTATCTTTTAATTGTTGAAATGACATGAAGGTATCCTTTTAATTTATGAATTCCCAGTTCATGCCACACATTGAAAGCTCTGTCTGAACATGATGGAAGGAAAGAAGGGTTAGATGTAACAGGCATACACGTTGATAGTGGTTTTAGTTTAAAGTGCTTAATTTGAAGCAAACAACAAATATCTAATAAGAAATCAATACCAGGCTTCGGAAGACTATAAAACCCATAAGCACAAGGAAATACAAAGCGGCACTATTGATAAAAATATATAACAAAATGTAGAACATGAATGTAAATTGTTTCTCAAAAACCTAAAAGGAATAATGAACTGACAGCAAATTCGAAACCCATCCATCCATCCTCTTTCACTTGTCCTTTTACAGGGTTACAGGGGGCTGAAGCCTATCTTAGGGTGCTTGAATTGTCACCTGTAAATATGGAGCTTTAATTGTTCATTTTTTCCCCTTCTTTTAATCTCTAATGTTTTTATCTTCTAGAGGATCAGCAGCAGCCAGTGCCATCTCCCAGTATTTGTTGGCATCAGTCTTATTCATTTACATGTACTTGAGAGGTCTGCATAAGGCCACATGGGCAGGTCAGTCATTTTACTTCTACGGGGATCCTGAACTTGCTGAAATGTTTTGATTTTGCTGTGTCGTTCGCCTTATTTCCAATTCTGTCCAATAATTTCATCATGTTGCATCATTTAGCTTTTGGCCTTTCATACCTGAAGTTTTCCATTATAAATACTCAAGAGTTTAATGTTTGATAAAAATAGTCATACTCTATAACTGTGGAGTGCAGTGTGGAGGAGAGGTTATTCTTTAACACTGCGGTTCCAATAAACTTCAAGACATCTCTGTAATAGTTAAAATGTGTGGGTTTTAAATATTGTTTAATAGTAATGTCTGATTTATGCAAATTCCTCATTAGTAATTGTTGATCCGAGGCCCATAATTAAATCATAATTTAAACCAATAGTTTGAAAGATGACATATAGAGTCACTCTGACCCACACAGGTTGGTCCCTCGACTGTCTCCAGGAGTGGGGACCCTTTGCCCAGCTGGCTGTCCCCAGCATGCTCATGCTCTGTCTGGAGTGGTGGGTGGTTGAAGTGGGAGGATTCCTGGCTGGTGTGATCAGTGAGGCCGAGTTGGGAGCTCACTCGATAACCTACGAATTGGCTGTTACTGCATACATGGTAACTCCAGTGAACCTTTTGACTTTTGCTTATATGTTGACCTGGCATTACATTTTGGAATTACACATGGATTTTCCCATAGATTCCATTAGGGTTTGCTAGTGCTGCCAGCGTACGGGTTGGGAATGCACTTGGTGCAGGAAACATCGAGCAGGCCAAGCTGTCGTGCAAAGTCCCCATCATCTGTGCATGTAAGAACCAACACACTAAGTATTATTGTCTGTGTTAAATGAACAGAAAAAAGTAAAAATACTGCTAACTGAGCAGTAGAAGGATTAGTTTTATTTCATGCTGAGCTTCATGACATAAGAATATGAAGTAGAATACATTTCATAAAATATAAATGAACTATTCATCCATCCAGCCACCTTCCAACAGCATAGACAATTAATGGTAGATTAATGGTGGACTCTCGGTGCCAAGTCCATCACAGGGCCAACTCAGAGATAGACAACCATTCATATTCATGTATACAGTGACATTAGAGCCATTAACTAACCTAACATGCATTTCTTTGGTCTGGGAGGAAGCTCGAGTACCTCCACAACCCATACAGGGTCCATGGCTGTTCCGTCAACATAAGGGGTCACTACAGGGGGTAGCTTTGCATGATTGATCTGGCAGTTTTATGCCAGATACCCATCCTGACACAGTCCCAAAGGGGATTTGTCTCCAGTTGAAATTGAACCAGTGACCTTTTGCCTATTATGGACCAGTTTGTTTACCCGACCCTGGGCAAAATAGTATGTAGTTGATATGCATTAGAACACATGTTGAATAAACTGCAATAAATTTGTGGACTATGTATACTTCATGTAATTTTGAGCCTGCAGTTAAACTTGAACCCTTTAAATCCCAGCGTATCGTATTTGATACATGCCTTTTTGTGATCATCAGCGTGACTCCCCCCACCCCACCCCACCCCCAAATGATTTAAATTGCATGACACATTTTAATGACTAAATTGCAAAAATATCGCTCATGTAGCGAATGTGATTCAAGTTAAAACTCATATATGCTGATTAAAATTTGATATATATTTTGTCTAAAGGTTCAACAAACAGTCCATTATCAAAAAATGAAAGATTTCTGGCAGTTATATCATGGTTTAGGTTCTAAAGTGTTAGCATAAATTCAACTTGTGCCTTCTTTTTGAACTTGTTTTTGTTGTTAAACGTGAATGCTGTACAATCGTTCCACTTTGGAAAAAGAAGAATAATGAAATTACAGTACATTTTTCACCACAACTGTATATAAACTGTAAAGTTGGTCACCTTTTGTGTTCCTTGTTTTTCTGTTTTTCCTGTGATTTTAATATTTAAATGGTTTTTCTCATTGCAGTCATAATTGCATGCTTTGTTAGTATTATTTTTGGCGTCTCAAAGGATGTCATCGGATACATTTTCACATCAGAGCCGTAAGTATCTTTGACCTTTAACCTTGATTCCAGGAAGAGTTCCTCTCTTATTTATTGCTTCTTTACTTACATGTATTATTCAAGATAATCATTTACACCTTTGTCCCAGAAACATGTTGCCCTTGTTATCTAGTTTCAGTTAACTAAAACAAGCCTATGTGAGTGCTATAATCAAATAAATTCATTGTTCATGTGTCCCGTTGTATTAAAGGTCTTGTTTTCATTAAGTTTCATATGTTCTTGATGTTTGACAATATTTGTGAATGTACAGACAGATGTACTGAAGCTGAAACTGCACATTTTTTTAGTGATATTTTGCAGAGGGTTTCTGACCTCATGTTGATATTTAGTTTCTTGCATCTGGCCGATGCAATTGCGGTAAGAAATGATTTTACAGCAGTGATCGACATTTCAGGCTAATACTGTCAAATATAAAATGTGCTTCAGAGAAATCTGTGTTTGTGTTTACAGGCTGTGGCTGGAGGAGTTGTCAGAGGTGTAGGAAAACAGTCGGTTGGTGCTCTGTGTAACTTGGTCGGGTACTACATTTTTGGCTTACCCACTGGTGTGTCTCTGATGTTTGCAGCCAAAATGGGGGTTGTAGGTGAGGACTGAATGAGGGTGGCATTCCAAGCTCCTTTGTTTTCCTTCATAGCATTGGATTGATATCACATATTCAAGACAAGAGAAAATAAGATATGTCGTACTTTATTTATCCCTAATTTTATATAATAACAATTAATTTTATTATATTCATTAAATAAAACCAGACATTTTGGTAGTTTTCTAGTCGAGTATGTTATAATAATGCCAGGGAGGAAAGACATCAGCAGTGACTTTGGGGAAGCATTTGTTGCTGTCCATGAAGGTTTGACAGAAGAAAGTCTCTTCTGTCCAAAAAGAACATTGCAGCATGGATTAGGTTTGCAATATTGCATCTGATGGAACAATGTTCTTTGGACAGACAAGAATAAAGAGGAGATGTTGGGCCATGCAAACTTCAATGCACACCACAATCATCATCCCAAGCAAAGCACCTCGCTTCTGCGTTTTCTGCTTAGTTTTTGCTAAAGACGTATCATAATATGCCATATGCTGCTATTCATCTAAAGTTGTATTTAAATAATGTTAGAACCTGATGAGGATCAGGCGATACTGGTTGTTAACAGTTGTAACTAAACATATTAATAGACTGGACATAAACTTAAAAGAAACCAGACCCTAAAATGACCCCAACTGGGCATTTCATGGGTTCAAATAAATGAAACAGGTGCAGCCTGAAGACAATGTGAGGAACAGAAAAATAAAAAATGTATGTGCATCGTAAAAGTAGCATGATTTTCACTAGGATGTCTTAGGCTTGTGTGAATTTAGAAGGGACACATGCACACACCCAGAGGCGGAGCCAGACATTTGAAACACCCGGGGCTTAGCCCTAAAGGGTAGTATGCATGTGGGATTTTCTTTTTCTTGGGGGAGGGGGGGGGTGTAGAAATGACTGAAAGATTAATAGGCTCTGTTTTGACTTTTGTTCAAAAAAGAATGACTTCATATAGGGAAAAATATATATCACATGTGCAGGACACCTTAAACTAGTTTTTTAATTAAGCAGCA